AACATATATATGGATATAGATATAGTATATGTGTGTGTATGTATGTATGTATATACCCCCTTACTTTGATGTGCCTAGAAAGTGTCTGGAAGGAAACAAACCTTCCAGACTGTTAACAGCAACTACTTCAGGGGAGAGAGACTTTTTTTAAAAGCAAAAGGCAAGGAAGACTGATTCTACACAATTCTATATTGATTTAAAAATTAAATAATCTTTAATAATTTTTAATGAGCACGTGTTACTTTTTTTTTTTTTTTGGCTGCACCATGCGGCTTATGGGATCTTAGTTTCCTGACCAGGGATCAAACCTGTGCCCCTCGCAGTGGAAGCATGGAGTCCTAACCACTGGACAGCCAGGGAATTCCCAACATGTGTTACTTTTATAATTAAAATGTAAAAAAAAAAAAAATCTGACTTCTGTTCTACTGCACTGTGGGTAGACCATGTTGAGAAAACCATTAACAGTGAGGAAGTGGCTGCTACAGAATTCACTATAGACATTATTATAATGAATTAATGAACAAGAGTTATGCTGTATTTAGTAAGCTTGGGTCATGGCTGTCCAGCAAGGATAAGGATAATCTGCTGCCTGTCTGGGTACTGTGGACAGCCAGGAAGCCCCATGTGGCAGCAGACTCATCTTGCACATTGTCCTAGAGATGGGTGGCACTGAGTGAGGCCAAGGTGATAAGAAATAGCATCAGGCTCTACAAAGGACGTTAGCAGCCTCAGCACAGAGACAGGTCTAATGTGGATGCAGGTTGCAAGTGACACTGGACCTCACAGCCCTCAAGGTCATATCTCCATACAAAAATCATCACTGGAAAAATTATCATCATCTAAACACAATGAGCTAGGAAATAGGTATTTTCTACAAGCACATTTTATTCTTTTGGTGAGTCTGGCAGGTAGAACATAGAGATGGAAGACAGTACCCTAAGGTCTCTTCCTGACGACGGCCTTGTACAAGTCCTCTGCCCTGTCTCTCCAGATGTTTCCCCATTTTGACAAGATGATAAAATAACTTCTACAAAAGCCTCCAAATCAGTCATTCTGAGATCAGTGCCAAATTTTAGCCATGGTTCTAAAAATAGCCAGAATATGAATCATATAAAATTCCAAAATTTATTTTTATTTCTTTAATGTAAAAACAGTAATAATAGCAGCATTAAGGATTTTAACTATTTTCATTATTCAGCCTAAATTCCTTTAAACTAGTAGTTTAATCTCTTATTCCAGTGTGCAATCAAACCTTTATTTCCCCCCTTCCCATTTCTCCCCCACCTCCATCCTGTAAATCAACAGAACTTGAAACCCTAACACTAGCAAGAAACAGAAAACTAGCCAAGAGCAGGTAAGAGAGAAACAAAAGGCCTACTTACAGTGCTTGGTGAGTAAAAGATGTAAATACCCATATTTTACTATCTTCTCATGTACAGGCTTAGTATTTTATTCTGATAATATATGTACTAAACTTGTGAATTATGTTGGTTGGCACCATTTATCTGACAGGAAACAGGCCGAGGCAGGTTCCTTTGCAACATAAGCTAGTGAGCATGGCATGTAGTTGTGATGTGGTAAGAGATGTTTATGGCTGTCCCCAGATAAGGGAGAACTGACTGCACTTAGATAAAAATTGCTATTTCTCAAATTTTGAGGTAAAAAACTGTACACTTTGCAACTAGAGTTAAATGCAAACTAATTATGTTCTATTTACATTTTCCCTTCTGCTGGCTAAATCACCATCTAAAATATTTGAAAACCTTGGCTGGGAAGTTGGACAGTTAAGAATTATAAGGTGGCAACTGTCTCACAAAGGCCCATCTTTTCCAGCATCCTGTTCTTTTAGAAAATTATCAAATCATTTCTGATCTGACTCCAGAAGGCCTCCTTCTATATCCTTGTCCCTTCACTGGTCTAGATATTTATTGTGTACTTCAGAAAACAATATTTTCTAACATCTGTTTAACATTTATTTTCCTTTAATTTCTATTATATTCTGTTTTCCAAATTTTCACTCAGGTCTAAAAAAAGAACTTCAATAATTACTAGTTTGACACAATGTCAGCTATTTAAGATTTCAGATACTCAGTGTGATCGTTTGCTTTTCACCACCTGCTTGCACTTGGGAAAGACTAAGTTAAACTAAACTTTAAAATGCTGCAATTCCTTTTGAATCATCCTTAAAGCAAGACTGGGGGAGGAGAGGTTATATAAAGGAAAGAGGAGGCTACAATAGTCGAATTTAAGCCTCCACTGATGAAGCTGATAGGAACCAGAGCTTCCAAGAAAAGGCAGTCCTGAGAATAAGGCCAAATCCTTTGCTCCCTATCAACATGAAACTGCTAAAGTCTGGAGATTCTTTCTGACTTTATTTTGAAAGCAACGTTTGGCTTGTCTGTACTGTTTCTAAACAGACTGAAGTTACAGTGCTTATGGTTTAAGCAGGGACAATTTCTACAAGGCCCAATTCAGGCTGAGGATTATTTTTATTTTGCTCCACATCTCCTGAACTCAAAATAAAGTGGTTTTAACCTAGGGTTATAGAGGTAGGAAACCTAGTGGGACCCTTATGCCAGTTTTCTCCTTTCCTGGTCCTTTCTCCATGCTTGCCCCATCCCCAGGAAGATGTCCTAGTATAAGTAAGTGCCCCTTGCAAAAATTTACAAAAACAGGTCAGTACCAGAAAATACAAAAAGCAGATAATATCCAATAGGCAAGAAAGGGAATGATTTAGTCGCATGCTTTCTTAGAGGTAATACAAACTGATATTAAACCTTTTTGGAGAGCAATTTGTAATGTTTATCAAAGTCTTAAAAACTGTGTGCTCTGTACATCAACTATACCTCAATAATAATAATAAAAAAAAAAAACCAAAAGGACCCATGTGCTCCACTTCCAGGAATTTATTCAGGGAAAGTCAACTCTTCTTCTAGTCCTAGCCTTCTTTTTGTTATCTCTGTATATTAGGTTGATGGGTCATTTAACTCTTCTTAGTGAGTACTATATTTTCACAATAGACTATAATAAACATAATACTCCCTTGGCAATCAGAAAGTAAAAAATCACCAGTAAACATAAAACACACGCAAACACACCCTGCCTGAAACCACTTGCATTCAAAAGTGTTTAGTGTTAAATATGGGGCCCAGCTTCAGCAACCAGTTTCTTTCATTATTATTATCATTATTCTGAAAAATTCAGTATGCATTAACAGTTTTACCAATGACCTAGGGTTTGGGGATATAATAAAAAAGCCCATGTCCACTTTTGTGGCTATTACTTTCACAGAATGACCTAAATAGAGCTTCAAACCACAACAATGATGCCCTCTCCCTATGGGCCCATGGACTGTTCCTTCAGGCCTCCATGGACTTTCATTGGAAATGTGACTCAATACTAACATGGTAGCTACAGTTCTTCCTTTCAGTGACATCTGGAATCCCATTATCTGATGAGATATTCTTTTCCTCCATTTTACAGCAGGAGACATTATCTAAATTCTCCTGGATCACGTGACAGTAGCCCTGAGAACAGAAAGCAAGTTTTAATAGTTCTTTCGCCAAACCACGCGCCTTTTCTGAATCTACTTACCATACTGTTTCAAGATGTTTTCTGAAGGGTCCACAGGGGCTACATTTAAAACTTTCTGGTCATTGTCTGCTAACTGCTGGGATGGTTTTAATCAGGGAGGAAGCCAAATTTTCTGCTTTGGTTTTGGAAAAGCTCCTAAAATGTCTTTAAACTGATTTAGGAGAAAATGCTTAACAGAAGAGGAATTATTACTGCCCTGGAATAAACTCATTAGAACTGACATATGCTGTAACCACAGACTAAGAGCACTACATTTTTGGGACACATTACATCCCAAAGGCAACTGAAGTTTCTAAATGTTATCAGTGTCAGATGACAAAACCTGTTCAACAAGGACCATAGCCTCAGTGTACTAGTTAACAGTTCCTCCTCTTAGAATATTCTTGGTGTTTGGTATAACTTCTCTACCAGGACCTAGTTTGTTTGTTTATTTATTTATTGGGTACGTTGGGTGTTCGTTGCTGCACGCGGGCTTTCTCTAGTTGCGGCGAGCAGGGACTATTCTTTGTTGCAGTGCACAGGCTTCTCATTGCGGTGGCTTCTCTTTGCTGCAGAGCAAGGGCTCTAGGGGCGTGGGCTTCAGTAGTTGTGGCTCACAGGCTCAGTAGTTGTGGCTCGCGGGCTCTAGAGTGCAGGCTCAGTAGTTGTGGCACACGGGCTTAGTTGCTCCACGGCATGTGGGATCTTCCCGGACCAGGGCTTGAACCCGTGTCCCCCGCGTTGGCAGGCAGATCCTTAACCACCACGCCACCAGGGAAGTCCCAGGACCTAGTTTTTATGCTAGTTTTCTTGAAGAAATTGTCTTGAGGAAGTTTTATTTGATGACTAAGGTAAAATTTTCTGAGGTAAAGACCTCACATCACTTCAAGAGACATTTTCCCTTCCCACAATCCTGACTTGAGATAAGTGAAGGGAGACCCTTTATGATGAGGTCAGTTTAGTTCTAGGTTCCAGAAAAGCCCAAGTTTCTCAGTAGCTCAGATCAAACCAGACCCCCCCAAGATTTAAGCAGAACTAATACAAATGCCTCAATCAGTTCCAGAAGCATCTCATGTCTTACTAAGGTCAGTAAACGTCTTCTAGGTTAGGCAGGCTCCTCTAGGCCTCAGCTCAGGCCATATTTGGTCAGCCTTGACCAAATTTATACATGATTTATCGTGTATAAATTCCTATAATCCTACCCAGGAATAAGCCACCATAGCAAGGGTTTCTAAAGCTGATCCCACCCCAGTCCTACTGAATCCAAGTCTCTGTGGATAAGGTCCTTAAGGCCTTTTTTTTTAAAAAAAAAATGCTTTTATGAGTGCCTCTGTATGCTGAAGTATAAGAACGTCTGTGGTAGATCAACTATAAGAGTAAACGAAAGGAAGAGAGAAAGAAATCGCAGCAAGCTGAGGCAGGCAAGATTTGAACTTGAGGATTTAATACTATTGGGGGAATAAGATTTTTTTTTTTAAAAAAGCAGGTCCCTGGGGAGGGATCATGAACACCTTTGCTTCAACAGCTCCATCTTCAGCTAGGCTGGCTGCATCAGTGTGCTGATACTTTCTTCTACCTCCGAGAGCTCCTTCAGGACTTGGGTGACCTTGACCTCATCAAACTCCAAACACAGAAATTCAGATTCCTGGAAAATATAAAAGGATATTTTAGACAAGACCCTCAAGATAGCCAAGGCTCTGGATCTGGTGTGACCTAGCTCCAAAGCCCAGGGCCCCTACCCAGCAAGCCTGACTCAGGCCTCAATACCTAAATGACATTTTATCCACGCAACACCCTAAATGAAACTACTTCTATGAGGTGTTTCATAAATGCTAAAGAGGTATACAAATGTCTGGTGTTCTCTTTAAGAGGCACATGAGAAGCTCTTCTTGTCTGTCATCACATTTAATCCCATAATAATTTTTAAGGTAAGTACTTAAGTATTGCTGTTTTATAGATGATGACTCTGAGACACAGGGAGGTTAACCTGTATCACAAAATCAGAAAAAGGCAGAGTCAGATTGTGAACTCCCAGCTCTGGCTGACTCCAAAGTCCATGCTGTCTCCATAGCACCCTGTAATAAAAACAATGGAAGGAGGATTTAGATTGGCTCTGTGTTTGCCTGGGAATTGGGCTACCTTGGATTTAGTGGTTATACTAGAAATTGTGACAAGCTGTGAACAAGTTGCTTGGGAAACATCAACCAGATAATTGAAAGATAACCAGATCTTGAAACAGCCTTAAACATTTCTGAGGCCTTTCCACTTGCTACAAGCCAACTCTCCCAAGATTTCCCTCAAACACATTCCTCTCAATAACTGTTAGGATCAATCAACCCCAAATTAGGTAGAAATCAAAGAAAAAGGCCTTTGAAGTGTGGTGACAGAAATTTCATGTGCACTGGACAAATGCTAGGTCCACACTGTCTTGAGAGACAAGGGAAAAGTAAAGGATTTTAAGAGTGACCATATTCAAGATCCCAAAGAACAATAACCACGTAATTTTAGAGCAGTATGAATTCTTAGAGACCATATAGCCCAACTACCTTGTTTTTCAGGTTATGAAATTGAGGCCCCAGCCATGTTAAATGACATGCCTATTATCCCTGTTTGCTGATGGCACAGCCACCAGATCAATGTTCTTTTCTCTATATTTTCCTTTCTAAATACATGGCACTCCCCACCCCCATTCAAAGTGGCAGGCAAAGGAAGACCAATAAGCCTCTTCAGAGGGAGGGAGTCACTCTGTCATCAGCTAGAAGAACCTTCAGGATCTGATTTTGTAAAAGTACCTTTGCTGTTGGTGAGCTGCTGTGCTGTGTCTATACTGATGGCACTGAACATCACCCCCGGAGAAACAAGTACAGAGGGGGAAGAAGGGGCCTCTCAGATGAGAGTCTTTCAAAGGGAGGAAAGGCAGCTTTCCCTGGCTACAAGGAACTTTTTCCTCAAACATGCATTTAAATAGGAAAGGGGTATAGTCTCATATGTGAGCTTAGAAACTGCCAGGTTTTCATTTAGTCGAAAGCAAAAACCAATTTAAAAAAAAGAAAGATGCTCCTGTGTTTGAGCAACAGGCAGGGTTATCTCCTTTTGGAAATAAGAGCAAATGTTTGGCAAATTAGGTACTTCACTTGGCTAAATTAAGAACAGGTCTCAGATTTGAAAGCCTCTTATTCTTCATTCAGTTTTATTGAGCTCTTTAGCCTGACTTTAGAACATTTAAAAATATTTGGCCTTTGGAACAATGGTCTAGAAACAAATAATTACCAGAGTCTAACATATATATTTAGGAAACTGGCAGAAAAGATGATGTAATCCATGTTTCTCCTCAGTGAGATAAAGTCAGTTACAATAATAAATCACCTCGTTTTCCATTTATATGGGAAAAGCCTATCAAAGACAATGTGCATAGAGATAGGAAAACCTGAGCAAAGTTTATTAATAAATAGCCAGGATCTTTTTTGACTGAAGGTCATTAATTTGTTATAAGTTTCAGTATTCAAATTATCTTTGATTGGACCTCTAAGTATTTTTTTTTTTTTTTGCGATATGTGGGCCTCTCACTGTCGTGGCCTTTCCCGTTGCCGGATGCGCAAGCTCAGCGCCCATGGCTCACGGGCCCAGCCGCTCCGCGGCATGTGGGATCCTCCCGGACCGGGGCACGAACCCGTATCCCCTGCATCGGCAGGCGGACTCTCAACCACTGCGCCACCAGGGAGGCCCTGGACCTCTAAGTATTAATGAAGCTTGGTTTACTTTTAAGAAGAATCAAATACTAGAGAGAAAAAGCAGGCTAAACAGAGTCCAAAGTTAAACAAATATTTTCCACACACTCCCTTCAACTCTCTCCCCTGAAAACAATGCACACTAACAGTCTTAGAAAGACACATGTAACCATACATTACTCTTGAAGAAACAGTTTACCTGAAACTATATTATCAAGGCCTAGCTTCATCTAGTTATGTCATCAAAATATTTTATCAGGAATTCAGGGGCCTTTAAACTGGGGCTTAACACATGGAGCTTTGTTCAAATTTTGCCTTTGGCTGGGGTGCCCTACAGAAAATACATCTAAAACACTTGAAAATATCTTTAGAAATGCAGGTGACGCTTTTCAAGCCAGGTGCAGAAAGTACAAGAGCAATCTGAAACACTTGATTTTTTTCTCAAAGTCATCCATCTTGATCTGGTCATACTGAGTGATGATAAGACTAAATTCCTGTATTTAAATATCTGAGTCAAGAGTTAGAACCTGCTTCTTAGCAGAGTGCAGATACATCATGGGATAGACCCAGAAAATAGTTATCAGGTGAATAAGCAGGTGCATCATTATTAAGAATATGTACTTTGTGATCACAGTGAGTATGGCAGTGTACTAAATTCAAGGGTTTAAGTAACTATTCCAAATTAGAAAAGAAAGCAAAGGTAAAATATTCAAATATTATTTCCAAGTACAAAAGCTAAAAATTCATAAAATCCTAAGAAGAGACCTTTGAGAGGCCACCCTCTCCAAACTAACAACAAAAAAACCTAGCTAGCTTTTAATGACTTCTAGAGAAGGACATCTTACATGTTCCTAAGGAACTCCTTTCCCAGGTAACCACTCTGACATTCTTCAGGAAACTCTTACTTGTCAAACCTAAATCTTTAATGTTTTAGCTTAAACTCATTTCCCAACTGGGTCAGAGAGTATACCTGATTATTATTTTATATAAAAATTGAAGGCTGTTATTAAGCAAATGTTTGGTTTCTCCATCTACATACTATTAAATTACCTCTCTGTGTGTACTGTCCATTTAAATGACTTCCTTATCTAGGTCCAGAAGCATACTCTGACCAATTCTTTGGCAAAACAATACTACAGTGACAAAATGCTAAAAATAGAAAATAAAAAAGATTATGACTTAATAAATACCTAAATAGAACCATTTAGAATAAACTGAACATAAGAAAAAATAGAAATCTTATAGCCTATCTTCTGTATTATTTCCCATGCAAAGTTTCCATAAAGCTTTATCCCCAAATTATTGGTCATATTTAGCATTAGAATACAACTTTGGCAAATTCTGGCAAATTGTGGTCTCTTAAAAATTCTAAAGTTGGGGGATGGAGGATGAGAGTGCGAAAGGATGCCTTAGGATCCTGCTAACCAATACTGATTCAGAAGGCCACATACAGTTGACCAGCTTTCATAAGGCTATTCCAATTCTTCTTTTGGCTTCATTTATTGACACAAAGGGACTCTTGGCTGAGCACAAACTTTTAGCCATGAAGCCTATCCCTCCCCTCTGTCCTTTGGGCTGTCCTTTCCTAAACTTAAATTAACCCTCTGAGCTGCAGCTCTGCCACTTTGTGTCTTCTGGAGAGAGAAAGAGAATGTATGGCAAAGGTCAAAACTGCAATAGTGTCCTGAAGATCAATTACATAATAAATAAGATACCCAAAGGCTTTGAACATTGCCCACAAGAAAAGTTTAAAACAGCTTCATAAGTAAATCTGTGTTCGCCACTCAATCCCAATCCCATACTTTCTGCAGCTTTCTCAGAATTATACCAATACTGCTCCCTAACTCTTTCAGGAGACCTCAAAATAGCTTCTCTGTGGCAAAGAATCCTCCAAGTTACTTCATAAGGGACCACTTATCCAAAATTAAAATTTTATAGTTCCCTGAAAACTGTGCTGATTATTCTCCACTTGTCTTTTCATAGCCATTCTCCACCTTTCTCTGCCTTGTTCCAGGTCCTATAAGATTGTCATTCCTTTGTTCTCTGGCTTACAGTTGGGTTCTGACAAGAGAAGACAGAGGTCAGGACATTTATTCTCTTACCCCCAACTCCTTCTCCTCTGCCATTTCCAGTATTTTCTATGTAAGGGTATCATTTCTTTATTTCCTACTTTACTTCTGGCCTCAATCACTACTTCAGTATAAACAGGAGTTTCTTCAGACTGTGAAAGTACATAATCACCAAATACAAACTCCAAAGATGAGCACAGCAAGAATTTTTATCATGACTAAGTTGGCAGAAAGGCTGCCCTCTAAGTGATAAATATGATAGTATGAACCAGAACCAGTATTTAATTTTTTCGATCATCATTTGATATTAAAATTATAACAGCATGTTGATATTAAAAAAGAAGAAAAAGAATAATAGTAACAACAACCATGCGAGATGACACTTCATGAAGAATTTGCATCAAGGGTCTTGATACCAGACACATGGCCTCATTTCTACAACCTGTTCTTATACCCTATATCTAAAGCAATGGATAGCTTATGCTGTAGCTTAAAACAATACTTTCCAAAAGAAAACTTGTGATTTATAATGTTTTTTAATCTTTCAATGAACATTTTTAGCAATACATAATTACAACCAATGGTCCTTACTCAGGCCGTTTTTAATCCTGAGGAAATCCTCATTTCAAATATAATAGCTGACAAGTCCTACATCTACTGTGTAAAAAGCAAGATAAAGCAATTTTCCAGAAGGGAAAAAAAATTATACTGTAAATCACAAAGCAAATTATGCTTCTGAAGATCAGAAAATACTAAAATCAGACTCTTTTGGAAGCTACGACTGAAACTTAATGACCAAGCAACTAAATTAAAATGATTCACCCCAAAACTCAACAGATGTCCATAAT